TAGGAGATGGTTGATAAGTACAAGATCCGGAGACAATGGAAAGGACGTGGTGTGATATGGGAACTTAAAATAAGTGCAGTTATACCTAATAACTTGGCTGCATGTACATACAAAGTACGGTATTAGCATTGACACTTCATGTATTCCGCACGGAATACTAGCATCACGCAATCCCGACTACCTGGCGCTAAGTATACCTAGTAAATACAGGTATCCGTACGGATGTACTGACTGAGTGGCTGTACAACATGGTCCGTGCACAACAGGCACGCTACCTTTTCATAATAGGCAAGGGAATATATGTAACAGGATCGACCTGCATATCCGTACTTAACTGGATACCTCGGTCAAGTCAGGATTTAGAAACTAACGGGTACGCCCGTGAAACTTTTACTACTCATTTCACAATCTCGTTCTTGTGGAAATACCTGTAGGGTATTTGAGATAGGTATATGAGATTTGATCTCGAGGGGCGACTATCTAGGTAGTAGAATGGCGGATGGTCTAGATATATCCCTGTATATAATGGTACTCAGATAAGAAATCTTATATTAGATTAGTCTATTACCGTTATCGCGGGAATATATCAGGCGTTATTGCTGTGCTAGCAATAACGGCGTCGTTTTTGCGGCAACCGTAGAATCAGCACGCATTATATAATGTACCTCCGTTGAATTGGGCGGACAGGAATGTAAAAGTTACACTTAGTACAATAAACGGAAATGGCATAGGTAGTCGTTTGGCCAGTTTATATCTTCAAATCTGCCGTGTCTATTTTCTTTTCTCTTAAGCCTATGTGCGCTGATCGTAGTATAAGGGTTATATGTCACAGTTACAGTATGTGCAACAATCATTTAGGTGCTGTCGTAATCACTCTAATTGTCAAAGCAGAATTGTGTAAGGCTCTAATATCTAAAGGATCTCTAACCGCTTAGGGGATCCCTTTTAAGTAATGGGGACCTCGGAGCAGTTATTGCACCGATATCCATTGTCTCAAGGCACTATAACTAATACCCCTATTATGGTGATATTAAAGAATATTTAAAGGTTGCACGATGTACAGGACAGTTCTAGAGACATTAAGAGAAGGTTCGCATACGTATATTCATCCATGTATGTCACAACAGTCGCCTTTAACAGATAGTTTGCCCTATTTCTATACTCCATGTGTCACGATAATAGGGGTATTAGTGATAGGATCTCGGAGCAATTATTGCTCCGAGATCCATAGGCTTGAAAGGGATCTTCTAAGCTAATAGAAGATCTTTTAGATCTTAGACATTTACACAATTCTAATTGAGTCAACTAAAGTGATCACGGCAGCACCTAAATTATTATTGCACACACTGTAACTGTGATACCATGTCATACTTTTAAAAGTGGCACACATCAAACTGGCCTAGTCTTCTTTTATGACTGCCCTCACTCCTTCCATTACGATTATGCCATCGCGACTATTCAAGAAACGTCTATCTTAACTAGGTAGATGGCTATTCTGACTGGATCCCACCTGATAGTAGATATACCTGCCTCTCAGTACATTTCACTAATGAATAGATGTACTTTCCTCAAATTTTATTGAAGCTATTATTGGACCCCCCTACTGGCCTCCCTATGGCCTCCCTCTGGCCTCCTTAATTTTTGACTACTCTCTGTCGGCGCTGTTAATAAAGATCTCAAACTATGTACGGTTTGCCAAAATTCTTTTTCCACAAAACCGCAACTGGAGGCTGGAATCAGCACATTCAACTAGAGTGAGAGACTCAAGCAATAGGTATTGTAATTTATAAGAAAAGAAACTCGAATTTCTTAGGTCAATATACTGCGAGGCGTCTTCTCCGCTGCAGATCTCTTTCCGCGCCGTATGGATCATAGTCGTTGTCCGAAGCCGAATCCGGCACAACTAAGTCTCCGAAACTATTGGTACTAGGCATCCGGGATCGCCTTTGAGTCGGTTCTCGTAAGAGGGGATGGTTAGCTATGGCAGTAGAGCGAAGTGATGTATGACTAAGCCCGCTTACCGTTAACGCAGTCAGTGTCAGAGTAGTGTCCTTGTGATCGCATGAGGTTTATATATGGTATAAGTAGTAGAAAAAATCATATGTTAATTATTTATCTTACGCATCCTGTTACGTTCATTTCTTTCAAAGATATAGGATCAATACTCGTTTAAAAAGAATTTTGGTCTAAGTCTAAGAGTATCTTAGAGCCTTTGGAGGATGTATACTACAATAGTATAGCATGTGGGTAAGCCAACCTCCTATATTCTAACAATTGTGATTATATACTCAGGTGCTATTTCACCTTACTAAGCTCATTTGAGAAATATATTCCAAATCACTTAGTCCAGCGGGCTTTATACGCCCCTCTGGGCCTTCCGGAAGCTCCGGGGGGGGCTTAGCCACGGCATGCAATAAGGCTGACTGCGGCAAAGCCCACAGTCTGACAAATACTATAAGCAACAGACCAGTGTAAACCTAAGAGTTGAGAGTATAGCCCAAAGCTCTAAGCCCTATCCATCGGTGAGACTATCATCACTGGACTTATTTGGAATTTATTGGGTGTTCGTTGGTAGAACCATAGGTTATAATTTGACACCGGTACGACAAGAGGCTGTTGCTTGTTAGGAACCTTGGAACTTGGGCTATAACTTGGCAGGAATACGACGAAGATGTCAAGTGATAAGAGCAAAGAGACAGCATAGAAAAAGCTAGCAGAATTGGTTACATGTAGACTCAACAAGTATATAAAGTATAGGATAGACGCCTTCCAGAAGAATGAAAGAGAAGGGCAATCAACAATCCTCCTCACGAAGTCAACTCATATTCGCATAAAGCTGAAAATAAATGATGCTCTCTACTCGACTAATTCAGGTTGGCCTGCTGTTCGCAGCTAAGGCCATGGCCGTAGCAGTCAGCAAGCAATGTGTCGAGTTCGACTTGGCCGTCCCCGTTTCCGCCACCAACAATTACTTCACCATGCCTCGCGTCGACAGCAATATCGATGCCGTTCAATGGGTCTTAAACTTTAGCGTGTGGGATGCGCCTACCCCGGCGCAGCGTAATACTAGTGACATAGCCATCAATGACACCTTCAACATCAGCGCTCGGCTTTGCGTCCCATCGACGAAAAATGACAAGTCTGACATACTCCAGATAGCCGTGCAAGGAAACGCTTGGGACAAAAGGTACGTCGACCCAAGACAACTTGTTAGGTAAGCGTTTAGCTGCTTTAGGTACTGAACCAGGCACGGTGGCAGATATTGGGATGTGGAGGTCCAGCCTGAGGAGCACTCATATGTCGACGCGGCCATCAGCGAGGGATACCCCATCCTTATGTTCGATAGGATCGGGACCGGGAACTCCTCGATCTCCAACCCCTACGAGGTCGTGCAGGCAGCTACAGAAGTCGAGATTCTCCGCCAAATCACAACCATGGCTCGCAACGGAACGTTGCTCAGCTCTGCCAAAGCCGTCTCTAATACCGTCCCAGAGCCGAACCCGAAGCATATCGTCCACGTGGGCCACTCGTTCGGCTCGCTGCTCATCGCCGGCCTGCTGACGCAGCACGGGAACCTATCCGATGCCGCGCTCCTGACGGGCTTCCTCCCCAACAGCACCCACCTGACCGATGTGCCGGTCGCCACCTTCGAGCACGACTTTGCCCCTGTCTCCGACCCCGTTCGCTTTGGCAAGTTTGGCTCGGGCTACATCGTCCTCACGTCGCTCAACACGCTGCAGAAGGTCTACTTCACAAAGGAGTCGCTCGACCCCGCGCTGCTGATCTACACCGAGGAGATCAAGCAGCCCGAGGCTGTGGCGCTGTACGCATCGAGTCAGCAGGCCTTTGCGAACCCCGGACCCGCGTACACGGGCCCCGTCCAGGTATGTCTACCCCAAAGTTAGTACCGCTGATGAGTTGACGGCTAAGACGATGTCGTTTTGCTCAGTTGATCGTCGGAGAGTTCGACTACGTCAACTGCAATGGAGACTGCAGGGGCACGTATTCCGAGGAGAACATCACGATCAGCACGTTCCCCGGGGCGTCCAACGTGACGGTGTACCTGCAGCCTAACACAGGGCACGCGTTGAATGTGGCCAAGAACGCGTCGGCCGTGTTCCAGCTCATGTTTTCCTACCTGAATGATCATGGTTTCTAAGGATCCATGGAAACATAATTATTCCTATAGGTTTACCTTCAGACTCTGATTTTCTAAACCCCCTGGGTGGTCTTTTCTCCACTACGACGGGTTATTGAATCGAGTAGATTAATCACGTTCGTTAAGCGCGCCGGTGCGCCATATTTAGCATATAATACAGAACCTGCCATTTTTGGACCTTAAAACTTCTGGTCTCTGGGACTTGTACATATGCCAACTAAGCATCATTGATATGTGTCGCAAAATCGACGTCCTTATTGATGCACAGTAATTACACATTACATCCGGCGACACCAACAAGTACTGGAAGGAGGAGAAACCTAGAAAACAAGGGAAAGAAATTAGACAATATGGCGAGCAAGACCAACTCCCATTGGTTTCCCCCGAGAATATGCACTTGAAAGATATCACGTTGTATCCTCTATAACCTAGCTAACTATTACCCCTATCTAGAATAAGTGAGACTAAGACAGAATAAGCGGATTTTACGGGAAAAGAAAAAGAACAGGAAGCAGACTTACCAGCATTTACAGGGCAGTGTTCACAACAAAAGTCTGCCTACATATCATCGGATGATGGTGATGCATTGAAGTTTCCTTCGATTGCCCGGCAACTTTGTATCAATTGAACACTAGGCAGTACAAAACAACTCTGTTTACATAGCGAGTATGGATGTAAGTACTGAGTTAGCTGACATATCAAGCGATGCTATGTACATATATATATATATATGTTAGCAGATATTTGACGTGTAGTTGTATGGTGGTTGATATTCTCACTCGTGCTGAAAACATCGCGCCCTATATAAGTAGCGTTTTTGGCGACGATATCCAATAACATTGCATGAATGGTGTAGCGGTAACATTCAACCCTTCCATGACTGTGTTCGGCTAGGATGACGATCGGTTAGGTTGAGCTCGGGGTTCGACTCCCCGTTCATGCATTAGCTTTTGCTGACTTCTAATAAATCGCATTTATTTTGCTCGCCGATGAAAGGAGGAACTAATTGAAAGAATTGAAAGTAATAAGGGGCGAGAGGCACAATAACCATTAAGTTGAGGAGTTTCGCATTCTTTTATCGACACATATGGCCACGCTGATGATAGGTATGAAACCTACATAGAATGATATATCTTTATATTTTTAAGTTTCACATAGAACGAAACAATAATTGTATGTATTTGAAAAGACATTGTCAATGCTTGTACAGAGTAATCTGTACGGAGTATGAATTGTCTTTCCGTCTTATCTTGGCAGCTTGGCATGGGCCACTATGTAGTTGACCCCGCGCACGTAGCTGCAATCAGGGACCTGTCACCGGTCCCGCGCAAACTGTCATTAATCAGACAATTTATACGGATTACAGTCTGTAGTCCTAGATCCTTTGTTTCCACCTCCCTACTTACGCATACACACACTTACAAGTACACACACTTACACATACCAGCGCACACACTACCTAGGTTAGGTAGTATCTCCGAACTCCTTTGTCCTCCTCCAGGTCCCGATCTTACTTCTCGGTCTCCTGCTATCCTGATCAAACCTGATTATTACATCATTACATGAGAGAGAGAGAACCAACATCAAAATAATCTTTGTCGACTACATATCTACAAAACTAGACGACCAACATTAGTCGCACACCTTCTACGTTTGTCTGAAGTTCTGAACACATCAATTTCAGAATGTCGAATCAAGATTATTACGGTAGACAGGGAGGCGGCGGCTATCCTCCACAGCAGAATCAGTATCCGCCGCAGAATGCATACCCTCCCTCGGACCAGTTTCCACCGGCAGGTACATACCCTCCTCAGCAACAGTACCACCAGCCGGAGGGCCAGTATCCCCCGCAGCATCAGTACGGGGCACCGTCGTCTCATTCTCCCTATCCGCCCCAATCCCCCAACCCTCCATCACAGTACGGTGCCCCGCCCACGGGAAACCACTCTCCCTATCCGCCGCAACAGTCCTACGGCGCCCCGTCACAGCACGGCAACTATGCCCCCTATCCCGAGAGCCAGCCTCCGTACGATAACCGGACGGGTTCGGCGCAGGGCCATGGCTACCCGCCTCAGGGCTACCCACAAGCTGGGAACCAGAACCCCTACCCGCATCAGCAGCCCCAATACCCATCTGCCCAACACGGGGCCAACCCCCACGACCCTAATCCCGATAAGGGGCTCGGGTCCATGCTAGGTGGTATGGCCGGCGGGAAGAAGGGAAGTACCCCGTTGGCAGCCATAGGCGCGGCGGCCGCGGCGCATTACCTAGGAGGTGGTTCACACGGTAGTTCAGGTCACGGGTCTGGGTTCTCCCCGGCTGCCGCGTTTGGCGGGTCGCATGGCGACAAGAAGCATAAGAAGGACAAGAAGGAAAAGAAGCACCACAAGAAAGACAAGAAGCACAAGAGCCGCAGTCGCAGCAGCAGCTCTAGCAGTGGCAGTAGTAAGAGCAGTCGCAGTAGCTAGAAGGCTCCCATACGCGGTTGTGTAAGTACTTGTGGTAAGTTAGCTCGGGATGGCTGATAAAGGGATGGGCTGATGGGTTGGTTGGTCGGTGTCGGGGATTGGCATGGGTTTCAGTTAAAATTGTCGCTCTCAGAGAGCTTGCATTGCTATTTTCACTATTTTCACTATTTTCACTTTAACGATACGGTTCAATGTGCTTGACTTTTACATTTTGACTGTTGTTTCCATCTCTATGGCTCCATGGGTGATTCTAATCAAGTGGTCTATCATACAAATAGCATACGCCAAATCTCATACGACCAGTAGTCGTTAGGTTTCCATATTCCCCTCCAAGATAGGAGGAGTTCATATGTTGGAAATGATGGGTAAGTCCCCCTTACACCATAGTCGTCCCAAACCGCTCCACAGTATTTGCTCATACCTTCAGCGCATCCCAGACCCAGTTCCAGTCCCGTTCATCTTCGTCTTCATCTTCATCACTATCATCGGCGATGCCACGACGATATGGATTGGCGGCACCAGATGGTCCCGCAGCATAGTCATCACCGCTATACCCCTCAGCATAACCCACTTCCTTACCCTTCCCCTTATCAGGCTTCGCCCCCAAACGCCTGCGCATGCCCTTCCGCATCCACGGCAACCTCTCGAGGATCTTGAGCTGCGCGACGAACCGCTCGCTCGCGCGACATCCCCAGTTGGGGCCCGGGCGGGCCTCCAGACACAGGCGCAGCAGGTGCGCGAAGAACTGCGGCAGCAGGTTCGCCTTGGAGCCGCCGAACACCTCGGGCCGGTCCGGCACGATGCTGACCTCGCGGTCGTGCATCCCGTTCATGTGGTAGATGGCGATCGCCATCACCGCCCACAGCGAGTTGCGCGGCGGCACAGCTTCGCGCAGCACGTTCTCCAGCAGCTGGCTCGCGTTGTACACCGTCCGGTAGCGGATCCGCTGCAGGAACGCCTCGCGGTTCTCGTATATGTCGGCGAAGTCCGGCAGCTCCGCGTGCGTCCAGAAGCGCCTGATCTCGTCGCGGCGCGTCTTGCGCTCGTGGTGGTAGGTGTCGTGCCAGGTCATTTCTTCCAACTGCAGTGGTAGGGGTGCGCGTTAGCCATGAGAGAGAGAAGGGGGATTGGGGGGGGGGGGGAAGGGGGGAGCGGTGGAGGTGGAATTGGATGGGCTTTCATTGCGGTGGAAAATGGGTAATCGGTCGTTGGACTCACCTCTCGGTCCCAGATGCTGATCGTGTGTACGCCCTTCTGGCTGCTCCCTCGCCGGTCGATCCGGTGCTTGTGGATGAAGCATAGGAAGCGGTAGCTGGCTAGCGCTATTGGCCACCCAGGAGCTTCGTGTCCGCAATTTCTGCGATCTTTTATCTCCCTCCAGTCTTTGTTGAAGTCGTCCGCTATGACCGGGGGGAGAACGATACTTGGTTCTACTCTCATCTCCTCGTCGAGGGGAGTAATGGTTGTGACTTCGTGGAAGTAAGCCCACGACTCCGCGTGACAGCCACGAGTCTGGTTGCAGTTGTATGCGTTCAGGGCGGTGGGCACGGCGTCTAGGCGCGGGTACCCCCCCCTTGCCAGACTTCTCAGCACCGCTGTTATGTCGTTGTATTCGTCATTGCTGAAGTCTGGGATATATCGGCTCATGTCATCAGCGTCGTAGACGAATGGCCAGGGCCTGAGCTGCTCCATGTTCGGCTCGGTGTTCTATCAGAGGTAGAGGTAGGGGAGAGTATGATCAGTCGAGTATTTGCATGTGAAGGTAAGGATTGGAAATTGAGGCGGTGAGACGTCCATGGGGCATCCAACGCATTCAATTTATAAAAACTGTATGTGTTCTACCGATTGACCTGTGAGTCAAGGGGAACAAGACGGAATATGCAGGTCAGTGCGAATGGTCACCCAACAAGACTTGTACAGTAGTCAGAGCCAGAAGCTTCTAATCAGAGGAATATCAGTATTTAAAGTCCATGTCAGAGCTTGGTAGTCTTGACGAAGCAAATTTGAGTCCCAACTCGAAGTCGCCAACAATAATTCCACGATAAACAAAGAGAAGCTAGGTTGATGAGATGAATAGTATTGAGGCACGTGGTTAACATGCCAGCGATCGAGCAAGGGCAAACGAAGACAAAGAATTAGAGTTCGCTAAAATTCTTGTGAGATGCCTCATAGTGCATGTGATTGCTACTGCTTTCTAGATGCGAACAAGTCCATATTCTATTGCAACGATGATCCATGGCTCCAGTCGGATAAAGAAATCAACATTCGACACCGTTCCCTCTCCATTGTTGCCTCATAATTCACGAGTGTTGAGCATACATGGTGGTGTAGATACAGGTCGTGATTGGGCTTTTGAGGACATAAAGTGGGCATCGGTGAAGTCTTGTTTTACAGTCATGCCAACTGTAAGTGTAACACACTCTGGCGTAGTAGTTTGCATACCACGTAGACCTGAGAAGGTGAAGGCTGCTGCTGGCCACATCAGCATCACCGGCTATAATACACAAACCGACCAACAGTACAGCGAATAAAGTGACCCAGTCCGCTAGATCTGCGAAAGCGATGAGACGAAATGAACAATCCCAAGTGAAAGGTTCGAAGTGAACTGAATGGTATATCTGCCACGGTAAAGTGCAACGCCAAAGACTCCCTGGTTCTTGGCCAAGAACGTCCCATAGATCCCTGCTGTAGCTTCAAACATCGAGGCTGCCTCTATCATTCAACTCCCCAGTACTCCCAAGCCCAATTCACTACCGCGCAACTCGAATAATTAAATCATACTACCGGCCTGTCCATCAATTCGTAGAGGCGAACAAACACCAGGTATTAGACATTCAGGCGGTCGGCCAAGTTGCTGCGATTAGTCTGCCTTCGATGCGCATTTCCTGGTGTTTTCGATGATATCCGTGATTTTGGCGCGGGCCTTCTGCTCGCCTTCCTCCCTATGGTGCTTTGCATTCTCCAGAGCCTCAACCCATTCCGCGATCGCTGTCTCCTTAGCAGCCTGTCGTTCGTCTTTCGGGGTGTCGTTGTTCAGGAGATTCGAAAGCGCGGTGTTGAACTCATGGTTAACGCCGGACACCCATTCGAGTCCATCCTCATCTGGCATCTTGGGGCGAGTGTAACGTTGAAAAGGCGGGCGATGTAGTAATGAGCGGCCCTGGTACAGATCAATTGAGTAGAGTGTTGTCTAGATGTAAGGGATAAGAACTTGTCATCGGGAAGGACGGGAGCGGATCTAAGCTTTTGTGCGATTGATACGAGGTTGCAATATGAGGTATCATTTGTCAGATAAGCACTGAGGCCATTCGCGTGTTTACGTCGTATCCATGTGACTGAAGGATCGCAAACGCCGCATTCAATATTTTTGGTATATATTGCATGGTGGTTAGCTGAAAACCGCCCTAGCAATTTTGAGAGAGCTGTAGGAGCATGCAGTATTGAATTAAATACTTGACTGAAATGCTTATGCTCG